CGACCACCCACAGAAGCCAGTGTTGGCGTCGGCAATGGCTAATCTCATGGGGGGCATGTGCCCCCCCCCCGTACTCTCCCTATGAGTCACCTATGCTCCATAGTGCACTTCTGTGACTATGAAACAGTTGCAGTATTCTTGGTAGGAGGTTGTCTCTCTGGGCTCCTGTACACATGCAGGGAGGCTGCTCTGATGCATTATAATTACAGTGCATCAGAGGAGACTCAGTTGAGTCTGGTGGAGTGTGTTAATTACCATGCTTCAGCAGACTCCAGTGTCACATGTATCAGCATCCCTGCACTGAAAAATGGCAGCAGGGAACTTTAAACTTTAGCTCATTCAACAAGCTTTAGTTCAAAGCACCCCACTGCCATTTTTCAGCATAGGGACGCTGATATATGTGAGGTGCTGGGAACTTTTAATTAGAAGGGGTCTTGGAGCTGTGCTAATTAAAGTGCTGCCCTATCTCCTGGAGCACATCTATAAATGCCCTCTGAGTTTCGTCTGTGCAGATAAATACATTTTTACCCCCTGCCTTACCCATTTAGCTATTACATCGGTTTTCTAGGCAATCTAATCAATTGTTCAAGAATGTATACTCAAGTTTTGCTGTGAAGCTTTTACAAGGTTCAACTTTGCATAGTTTTAATGAGCATGATCTTTAGTTAACTGCTTAGATATAAATTCTGGAACAGCTCTGTGAAGTGTACTAATACCATTTTAAATGGGGCAGGATCACCCTCTGCTTGTTGGAGTTGTTGATAGCAACTGCTTTTTCTCAGTCCAGATCTGAATTGTGATTCAGAGGCAAGGTATGAGAGAGGTCCCTGCTCTTGCAAAAGTTTGAAGTGTTTGTAGGTTATGAATACCTTATTATTTTTGATAAATGATATGATGCTTTCTTATCTGCCCTGTTGCTTGAAAGTTCCCAGCCATAATGTTCACATAGGACCTGATTCTAGGTTCTCAGTGCACTTAGGTGTCATGTCCAGACATGGGTGGATGTTTGTTTCCCCAGGAACAACTAGCAGTGGCACACCTTATGGCACTGCTAGTTGTCCTTGGGGAACACCTGTGCCATGCATGTCTGGTGTGTGGCAAGTTGCCCTGGGTGGGGTAGAGGAATCTGGGGCCAGCACTGGGCTGGCCCCAGCAGCCTTACCTGGTTTTGGGCAATGCATGCTGCTGCCATGTACAGTACTCCACTTTTTTTCAGCAGGTTTTTTTGACCCCTGGATATCCTGGGGGCTTCCTGGGGCTGCAGCCACGTTGCTTCTGCTGTGCGGAGCCTGGCCAGCAGCAAAATATGGCTTCAGCTGGCCAGGCTCTGGCTTTGGGCAGTGCATGCTGTCACCATGTGCAGTGCTCCACTTTTTTTTTTCAGCAGGTTTTTTTGACCCCTGGGTATCCAGGGATCAAAAAGACCCTCCGCTCTACTCCTTTGCAGCATGAGGAACAACTGAACATGGCGTATGTTCAGACATGTCTGAGGTGCCACATACCGTACGGCTGTGCTCTTCTGGATGAAGCCAAAAAGTTCACTACATTTAGTGGAATTTTGGCTCTCCAAGGTATTCATGTCTGTTTCTTCCTTAATAATGGATTTATTAAAGACAAATAATGTATTTTGTGATTTTTTCCTGTTTGCATAATATCATTTTGCATTATGGCAAAATGTTTTATATTATGAATATTGGAAATCATGATCTGTTGCCTGGATGTAATTAGACTAGATTAGATAAATCACATGATGATTTTTCTGTTTTATGGATTGAATGGACACGAAAGCACTGCTAATACAAACATGTACAGATCATTTTAAATGTTTATTTTCATGAATAGTAATGTGTATGAGCTTTGTGTTTCACTATCCATAAATGTTTTGCCTGTAAAACTTCAGAAAGTCCACAGAAAATCAGCACAAAAGAGGCACATACATTATTAAAGCACATTTCCTGAAAATTTTGAATTTAGATTTCCAAGAAAGTTTTGTATTATCGTGTACTAATTGAGAGTACAAGAAGGACAAAAGAGACTCTCCCCCATAGGGAACATGTGATGTTAAAATCAGCTGTAACATTGTGCAGCCTAAAACATCATGACTTTTACTGTGCTGAAGTTTATAGTGCTAAGATGGGGGATAATTGGGAATGGAGTTGGTGATAGAACCCAGTTCTTTCTGCTCCAAAAGAGCAGGCCTCTTCTGCTCCTAGTTCTACTCTGTTTAGTAGTTCACAATGTGCAGATTATGAAGCACAGTTATGAAATGTTTATTTCAATCAGAAGTGGTTTGCGTATGCAGGTGTACACACGGAGTTAATTCCAATACTTTGCCTGAAATCAGTATACATCCTTTATTGTACTGGATGAGTACAAGAATCACTGTTCTAAGCCACTAGTTTATAATAAAGCAAATTTATTCATAATATAGAAGTTGCAGCTTTGGTTATTTGATGAAAGAATTGTTTATAAAAGAAACTGCTTATCTTTCTGGGATCCTATGATCCCTGCTTGACTTCCTGCCCCTGGGGCAGGGGGCTGGACTTGATGATCCTCTGGGGTCCCTTCCAGCCCAAATGTCTATGAAATTTATGAAATCACAATCTTGTTGAAATTCCAAGATTGACAAAACATGTAATATACTCATGTACACCAAATACACAAATACAATTCATTTAAATGGAAACATATCACAGAGATTTCTCATCATGCACATATTACAGAAGAAAAGGATATAGTTTAGTCTGAAGGTGCTATAATTTGTTAGAGCCTGAAAAATAATTATGCACATATTTACCTTTGATATCGGGGGTAGTTCTGCATGTACATGTTTGCAGGATTAGGGTCTTACCACCAGACAAGAGACCTATATGCTCCTGGATGTTCAGGAAACCAGTTTAGTTTGCTGAACTGGTCAAAGGAATGAGCATTTCATTACACTCGGCGATGTTCCATCACCCAATATGATTGCTGAAAAGGAAAATGCTAATGGCTCCAATAGGGGCCATTTTCTATAATGTGCTGGTTCTAAAAATATTTCAACCCTAATGAAAATGCCCAAGGATGAGATGGGTGGGGGATATCAGGTGGTTGAACCTTTGTGCCAAGGAGCCCAACTAAATGTATTTGCAAGTAGACCCTAATGTGTGTGAGCTGAATTCATACTTGAGCTTGCCCTCATACTGAGAACTAGGTGCTTTTACTAAAGTTGACTTTCCAGTCTCAGGCAAATAATACAGTTAAACCTTTTAGTATTACTTTTGGTAACTATGGGTCAGATCATAAGTTTATGAGCCTTTAGGCATCAAAGTCACTAAATATGATCCTATTCTAGCTTTTGCAACAGCCAAAATTCTGCTAAGGCACCTAGATTCTTTATGGACTTTCATTTAAACCTTTTTGCATGGGCCTGAAGAAAACCCAGCCTGGGCAACTAGACTTGGTCTGCTGTTCATGCTCAGAAGTAAGCTACTGTGAGCACATAGGTATAAAGGCTCCACTTACACTTTATGATCCAATTCAGTTTGGTAATTCACTTACATTCTGACTCATTCTCCAGATCCTTTGTCAGGTAAAACATGCTCAGACACTGTTTGATGTTGAGATCAATGTGGTGGTGCTGCTGCTTACCTTTTGCTCACTAACGCAAGTGTTAAGGCAGTTGTCAGGAAATGGATTCTAGGCCCACCTCACCCTACGCAGATTTGAACTCACATTTCCTAATTCTCTTGCTTGAGGATATTTTGAGTTTTGGCCTCTGCTGTTATTTCTTTTGCCTGACCAGTGGCTATCTAATGTTAAATGCATTATGCCAGGGAGCAAACAGGAGAAAATGTAACTATAGTTTAGTGGTTTGGTACTTGGTAGTGGAGGAGGAGAGGAATTCTTGTGTTTCAGCCTCTGCTGCCAAGACAGAGGCATTTGGATGAACTGGGTAACTAGCACCAGAAGAAGAGAGAAGCAGGCAAAACTCAGGATTCCTTCTTCCTGGGAAAGTGTACTTCTCACTGGGGTACACAGTCATGCTCCCATGGGCTCTGTGATCTTCACATTCCTTTCCATCCAGTGTCCCAGTTTTAGTAGGAGGTGGGGAAAGGTGTCAAGTCCTGCCTAGTTCATGGTCTCGTGCAATTGGCACCAGAGGCATAACAAAATAAATGTGGGGCAGGGGGAATGGAAGAGGGAATTATGCTGACCATTATAAAACAGGAGTGGGGGTTCAGGATCATACCTGTCCCTGCTCTCTGATCTCAGGTAGCAGCTGCTACAGCTTCTCTGTAGCAGTGTGAGCTTGCCTACTGTAGCTGAGGAATGGGCTCTCTGCATGCTGGTTCAGCAGCCCAACTGGTGCAGACTCTCCAGTGCTGTTCCTGATGCCCCATTCGTTCCCCTTCCCCCTCCCCCCGCAGATATGCTTCTGGGTGAAGGACTGCACATCCCATGGCAAAGCCTATAAAGGGGGGGAGGCAGGGCACAGATGGAATATATTTCATTTGTTTCCACTTCCTCCAGATACACTACAGGGCATGGGGCTGTACCTGACTGGCTCTCTGTGTCCCATCTGCACATGGTTACATCTCCCATGGAAAAGACTTCTGGGGCTGGAGGGGACCATGCTAATACCCTCTCTAAGTCAGTGCCTGGGGCCAGTGCACCATTTGTCCCACTATAGTTACACCATTGACTGGCACTGCCCTAAGAAGTAGGTATGGGTACAAACCCATTCAGGATGAAGTGGGCCTAGAAATCAAGTTTCTCACTTCCTGGGCAAGTGCCTGAATCACCAAGTTATTAAGAAAATCATAGGATCATAAGGACCTCAAGGGTCATCTGCACGCAAGGTCCTAAATCATCCTTGTCCAATGCTTATCCAGCCTCTTCCTGAGATGCTCCAGTGAAGGAGATTCCACAACTTCCCTGGGCAGTTCATCCACTTTCTTGTTCTAACAATAAGGAAGTTTTTCCTGATGTCTAATCTAAAGCTACTTTGCTGAAATTTAGAGCCATTGCTTCAAGTCCTACCATCTGTAATGATGGAAAAGAGTTGTTCTCTCTCGTATTTATGGCAGCCTTTCTGATATTTGAAGATTGATATCATTGCCTCCCTTTTCCAGCTTTTTCTCTAAGCTAAACATGCTTAGCTCTCTCAACCTTTCTTCATACAACCTGACTTCTAACCTCTTTATCATTTTTATCACTTGCCCTTGGACTCTTTCTAACTTCTCCACATCCTAGATCCATAAAGAGACTTTGACTATCTGCAGGTTAGATATCTATGTTAATTACAGAAACATAAGTTCATTTGCTGTTATTGTGAAATAATTAAATTAAAATTAAAAAAAATGTACTGAATTATAGCTAAAAATGTTAATTAAGTATCAATGTGAATAATGTTCAAGACTGAAGAGTTCTTCTCCTTTTATCCCAGAACTTAATGAGAGGAAGAGAAGGGAGGCTAGAATAGCTCAAGAGAGAGGAGAAAGTTAGGAGGTACTTGTTCCTAAATAGAGTGTATGTGTGTGTGTGCGTGCATGCATGCGTGCATGTGTGTGTGCAGATCTTGATTCTTCCAGGGAAGGGTGGCAAAGAGCTCTTATGCCTTCCCTTTCTAATAAATGACATCTTTATGCAATAAAAGGGTATGTTGCCACCTACACAAGGGCATTTTTGGCTTGATGGAATATTTGACCACAATTGATTGATATTTGACTACATTTGACCACAATTGATTGATATTTGACTACATCCTTCTCAGCCATGCTACCACCCATCCAGTTATCTCCCATTCTGCATTTGTGATTTTGATTATTCGCCTTTAGGTATAGCACCTTACATTTGTTTGTATTGAACATGATAGCTGTCCAATCTATCAAGATGCTTCTGAATTGTGCTCATGTCGTCCAGTGTGTTTGCAGTCCTTCCCAGTATGGTATGTTCAGTTTGCTCAGGATGCTCTCTGTTCCCACATCCAAATACTTAATAAACATTAAATAGCACCACACTTAGGACATACCCCTGTTAAACCCCACTTGAAATCTCCTAGCATTCTGTCATTGATCCATTTATAATTACCCTTTGGTTTTGGTTACTGAGGAAATTATCTGTCCTCTTTGTAGTAATTTTAACTAGCACATATTCTTCCCATTTGCTTCTGAGAAGGTCATATGAGACTTTATTAAAAGCCTTACTAAAGTTCCTGTACACTGTATTCCCTTCATCTACCCAACTAGTGACTTTGTCAGAGGAGATCAGATCAGTCTGGCATGGTTTGTTCTTAACAAATCAATTCTGATTGCTAAAGATCAGGCTTTTTCCCTCTAGATATTTATAAAATCACTTCTTTATAGTTTACTTCAGTAATGTACCATTTAGAGGCATAATTTATACCATATTTTCTTGTATATAGTATGCTCCAGACTAAAATGTGAACCTTGTTATTGAAAGGTAGAATGAAGAAAAAAATCTTTCCTTATAGCTTAGTAAGTAACTAAGTAGCAGCAGTTAGGGAGCCAAGCCTGCTAATTTTTCTGCTCCCTGTGAGTTGCTTGCAGATCATATTTTCATTTTTGGCCAGTAAGCGGAAAAAATTTTATAATATTTTGAGCATATAGTACATGCTGTAATTTTCAGCCACTGTTTTTTGGGAAAAGATGTATGTTGTATATGAGAAAATACGGTAATTTTGGGAATCTGGGAAAAGATGCTGTTTAGTTTCAAGAAGCCAGGGGTGGCTGTTGGGGATGGCTGAGCAACAGAGAATGCAGGTTGGGGGGAAATGCCAAGCACTGGGGAGCAGGGGTAAACATTACTGCATGATGCTGATACCCTGTTTAAATCAGCATCCAGGTCTGATATCCTGCTTTAGTTTTGCTATTGTTCTCAAGTATTGAAGTCAGGCTGACTGATCTGTAATTTCCTGGGTCTTTGTGGGGGGGTTTTTTAAGGTGGTCACTATGTTGGTCCTTTTCCAGTCATCTGGAATCTCTCCAGTCTCCCATGACTTTGTAAACAGTATTGTCAAGGGCTCCAACATCCCTTCTGCCAGTTCTTTTGCTACCCTAAGATGAAATTCATCAGGCCCTGCTGACTTAAATTCATTACCCATTTTAAACTTTCTGACACTTAAGTTTGCATGAACATCAACCTTATTTCGTCTTTGTATAATTTTTGGTAGCCATCTGATTGTAGCTATTTTTTGTGAAGTCCAAGGCAAAGTGACTGTTACAGCTTCCTTGTCTAGCCAACATATTTAAAGAACCCCTTCGTGTTGTCCTTTACTTTCCTCAGCCAATGTAACTCTTCTTTTTTAAACCTTTGCTTCCCTGATTTTTGTCCCTGAAAATTCTTGCTATTTCTTGTTTTTTCTTGGAAAAACCAAAAAAGTTCTTGCTATTTCTCAGAAGAGAGAGTTTCCTTGCAACTCTCTCTTCCTTCCATTGCCTGTATGTTTGTTCCTTTTGAGTCTGAGGTACCCAAGAGGCTCCTCATGTTGTCACTTTGGGCCATAGCCATTTTTCTTGAGGTTCCATTGTTTCTTGTTGAGCTTCCAATATTAGATATGCATACTAGGCTTGCAATTTTCCTTTTACTTTACAATGTCCATGCTGCTTTGTCAGTTAGATACACTGGTAGATGCCTCTGAGAAAGATGAGTTCCAGCAAGGCTTCTCTGCTTCTAGCAAGTTAGGTTGGACTAGATCCTCTTGACATGGTAAAAGTAGGCTTATATGATGACCTGGTGAAAGAACATAAGCCTGCCTATAACTCTTCCCATTAGGAGAATGGGAGAGCATTCCCTGGATGGTGCATAACACTGACTGGTGCCCATTACTATGGGCAGAGTCATAAAAGGATGGGGTAGGATCAGCCTCTGAGATTGAACTACGCTGCCCATTTGAGACAATGGAAGAGGTGGCATGGAATTGCTTTTCTAAAGGATGCAAGTAATTTTTAGTTAACCAGAAGCAAAATACATAATAAGTGAAACGGGATCTGGGATATGGTGCATTTGAATGTGATATCTCTGGATAGGACTAGAGCAAGTGAACATTGTGAAAGTTTCCCAAATTAATCTATGACAATGGATTTCAAACAAACATGACAACCTGGAGCTTTTCTAGCTCTTGGCTTGTTCTAGCAGAACTGGTGAGGTGGGGACTAAATGCTGTCTAATAAATCTTAATTTACTTTCCTTTTTTAGTGACCTATGTTGTGGTTTGCATCTTGGTCCCTAGAGGCAAGAATGATAATGCTTTAAATCAAATATAGCACCTCTTTTCCACTTATTTTCTCTTCACATGGAATTATTTGCATCAACATAAGGTGTGTTGGTAACATGTCAAAAAAGCTGGTAACGTCAATTTCTTCACTGATACATTGAAAAAAGTTTTTGGGGTAAAATGCAATGTGGAAGTGAAGCTAAGGTAAGTCTTTATAGCACTTAGAGATATAGCCATTCTTCTGAAGGCTTATCATCATTTTCAAATCTTACATCTACACAAGAAACTAACTTTGGGGCTTAATCCTATGACCCCACTTGAGGTGAATGGATGGTGCCAGAGCAAACAGTGTGACCTTGTTTATTTAGTGGATTATTCCATGTATGTTATAGACACAATTTTCTGTATGTTTTAGATTTGGCAAGTATAAATTATCTATGAAAGAATAATACAAAAAATTTAAAAAGTCTTGTTCTGAGACATATAGTTATAATGGCAATTCTAAGATATAGAACCATATATTTCTTTAAAATCCATCTTTCCTGAGCAGTGAATGAATATAATTCTTCTATGCAGATTTAATTTTTCCAAGATCATTTACTGACTTGATTCAATCTGTACTTTAGCCTTAGTTTTGTAGAAGCAAAAAGGCATTCTAATAAGAACATCTACTAAGAACATCATCTATGATACAGAGAGACTTTTCTTGTGGAAGTGTTCTAGTAAAATGTGAATTGTGTTTATAGTTAAGAAACTTAAATTTAATATCCTTTCAGAGCCATTGATTCTATATGTTTACAGATACAGGGTTTAATATATTATAATACCAAGTTAAAGTCTTTGTGTGTGCCCCAAGACCTAATGGTCTGATCTTTTGAATGATTTAATGTAATAAAATTTGCAGAGTGCCTCTAGACGTTGTCCAGATGCTCAGGATTAGTGATATCTGTAGTTTGTCCATTATCTCTGCTGCAGAACCTTACTATGTTGATTGATAATTTCCTGTTTTGTTTCCTACCTAGCCTCACTTTGGTTAAAATAAAATATTTGTAAACTAGTTTAATAGTTATTTCATGTATATACAAATTCCATTTTTAGAGCTGAAATATTTAACCACAATATGATATAGACTTCTCCTAGAAGAGTTTCAGTATGATAACAGAAAGGCTTATGACTTTTGAAATCTAGAAAGTAATAATTCTGTGAGTGTGTGTGTGCACATATGTGTGTAGGAACATATGCACGTGTTTGTATATGGTTATACTCTTGCCCCAGATTGTAACTATATTTTGGATATCTGCCTATTAAACACATAACACAGTTTTGCAGTGCTTTTATATTATTATTATTGTTGTTGTTGTAGAAAGCCTATGAATATCATTGTAATAATCCTACTTATTTTCTGTCTTGCCATCTGTTTGATATACACGTATTTGTTGTCACTTAATTAATACTCTAGTATCGCTCAGTCGCCCATGGTGTCCTCCTCTTCATTTAGGGGAGGTTTGCATACTTAAGTTTTTACTGAGAAATACCTAATTCAGCTATGTATGATATATTGCAGACTCTTGCATTCTTAGATTGTATGTTACAATATTTTGTATCTTTAAAAATTAATAAACAGAGACAATATATCAATGTAAGATTTAATTTGCTACAGCTGTAATTTTAATGGAAATGTAGGACTTGAAGTAATTGTTCTTAATTGCCTGGTTCTAAATTACAGTATAACTGGTGTGAGGAATTCTTGTTTCCTTTGACTGAATTATTCAAAGTTAAAATGTATAAGAAATTATAAATATATGTTTAGATTCTTTATTTAAGGTTCATTCTTAGTTAAACAAGTTAATTTCAGAAAACGTAAAGAGAAGGCATGTTTCCCATTCCACACAAAATGCAATAGGGGGAAATAAATTCAGCAGAAAGCCTCCCTTTTTTTCAGGAACTGCTACTAGGATACACTGTACCCAGTATTTCCTGGTGGTTTGAAATATGTTCAATCTAAAGATGCCAGCATTTGCTTTTCCCCACTTATTTTCATGCTTATTTGTCTCTAGGACAGCTTTTTGCATCTCATTATGGTTCCTTGCCCATAAGAATCCTATACTGTACTTTACTAGAAAAAATTTAATGGCTTACTTATGAAGAGAGTGAAAGTTTGAGCTCAGTAAAAAGTAAAGAGTACTGAAAAATTATAGGGGTTTGACTCTAACAAAAGTGGAAGTAGCTCAGACAGAGAGCGCATTATCCCATTTGAGCATCTGCAGTGTATGACCTGTAGGCCAGATCAAGTTCACAGATCCAGCCTATGACTCTGGGGGGTTTGGCTGTTATTGCTTTGGTGGGCATCACATGAGCCATGACCAGGTACTACATTGCAAGCATCAACCTGCCTCCAACCTGAGCCAGGTTTTTTGGGTCTGCCATTTCAAAAAGTTGCCAACTGCTACATAAAAATGTTGTAAGTTATGATGACACAAATCAGATCTTGTTTGTTTAATTCTCCCTCTTTTATGGGATGTTCAAGATTAGCTTGGGGCCTGAAAATGGGACTTCTGAATTTTCAGGGCCCTGGTCTTCTTGTTTTTCAAATAAAAGAGCAAGCCAGATTAAGGCAAATTCTTTCTGGAACAGAGTAAGCTCATGAGGACTATTTGGCTTTTTCATAAATTATATTTTCCATACTTCTGTGTAGCCCCAAGAGACAAGTGAAGATTAACTGCAAAAAAGACTCAGCTATTTTGCTTATTGTTTTATATTTTTCTAAAGCCCTTGTTAATCTTTAAAAAAATATATATATACATTATATGCATGAATGCTCTTTCTTCTTTAATAAATGCAGAAACCCACCCTTTCTATGCTGCTAAAGCTCATGACCATGGTTTAGTCATTTCTCATCTTGGCCTTGTTTAGACTAGGCTTTCCAATCCTATTGTAAGTCAAATTAATTGTTTGCCAGTTTAATTTCATTTGCTAACACCTTTACAAATGCTAATTCAGGCTACTTCTCAAATATTTGTTATACATTACAACCACTTATTCCTGCTTCTGGCTCAAGGGCTCAGACTAAGCAAACCAGATCTAGAATCAGCCTGAAAAAAACATTTGGTGAGATGTCTGGGTGAGCATTGTACAATTGTATTAATTTAATTCAAGGAAAATTGGGCAGTCAGTTAACTAAGTTACAAAAGACCCTTGACAAAGCCTTTAACTATTATAACCTTCTCTTTATGGTTTCTACTTCACTCCTCATGGCCTTTCAGTTTATTCTAAATGCAATTTCCTGCTCTTGCTGTACATGCACATTCTAATCCTCTCAGCTTTCTGTCCTTTCATCTTGTATTCAAAGTCTCAGGTTTCTGTCATGCTGCCTACTACTTCCCTGCCAAGTGCCTTTACCCTCCATTCAGCCCCCTCATGTGAAAAAATAAATAAAAAAAGAAACCTTCTGGAATACTTCCTAGTTCTCCGGTAATTACCTTCCTTTTTGAATTGTTTCTTCATGTTATATTTTCAGGCCCAATCCTCAGAGATACCAATGTTTTCTACTCCTTTTGACTTTAATGGAAATTGATGGTTCTTACAATCTTGCAGGATCTAAGCCAACATAGAGAAAACTGCAGAGACTCAGGATTTTTTGGGATGAGGTCTTAAAAGCATAACCTTACATGTCCTCTTTTTGGATCCTCTGCTTTCTGTCCAGGTGTTTGTTTGTTTTTTAAAATATGGTCCAATGTCTAGGATTTGGGTCAGCTCAGCTGTGTGTGGGGGGCAGGTAACCTGCTCAGAAAAAAAATTAGTGGTGACACGCTCAGGAGAGAAAGAACAGATGGTTCCATAGAAGTTAAGCTCTTCAGAGCAGAGTATGAGTCTTAATATGCATCTGGAACCTGCCATACCAATTTACAGGATTTTGTAAGTATTTTTAGGTAATTATAGCATGTCTTTACCAGCAACCAAGTACTTATCAGCACTCTGGTAGTAACAAGCCGATGTGGCTAAGTACAGACAGTCAAAAATCCCAAGGCAGAATTGGTTCAATCTGGGCAGCTTCCTCTAACCTGCATAGGTTTGAACCGATAACCAATAGGTGTGTGCAAACTGGGCTGTATTCGATTCAGATTCAGCCCAATTCAGGGGACAGCGATTGGATTAGTTGATTTGGATCACTGTCCTGATTCGATTCGGCCGAATCCAAATCTGAAGATTTGACGCTGATTCAGATAATCAGCAATTCAGCCATAGTGCTTCTGGTCAACTTCTGGGTCCACCGATGAGCACACTGGGGATGCCCCTCCCCCCCCATGCTCCTGTGGGATGCTCCATCTGCCCCATCATCTCAGTGTTCACGAGCCACGCCTGGTACCTCGAGGTATGTAGAAAAAACATATGAAGCTGTGTCTATGGCCAAATCAGCGAATTTCTCTGAATCAAATCCAAGGCTTCTGATTTGATTTGGAGAGGTTAATCAGTGTTCTGATTCGAATCAGATGCGGAGATTCGGCCACCAAATCGGGCCGAATCTCCGCTGAATCAAATCAGTGACCGAAGCTTCACACAGCCCTAACAACCAACTGAACTGACATTCAAGTTTTCAATTGGGAAAGGCAGGGGAAGGCCTGCACTGACCCAGGCCAGTAGGAGGGGGATGCTAGAGCACATCTCCCAGCCTGGCCATTGCCACTGCAGGGAAGAGTCTCTAACCTCCGGCACTCCCCTCACAGGGGGTTAATGATCCCCATCCTGGTGCTGGCCCACCTTGGTGGAGCCTCCCCCTCAGAGGGTTTCTCCCAGCCTGAGGTCCTCAGCCCAGGCAGCCCTGAGGAGCTGAGGGGAATCATCCCCCCCCACCCTTCCCCAGCTGCTAGTTGCTTCAGCTGCTGCCACAGGAGGGAGGAAGAAGTCCTCCCAGCTGGGTGCCTGCCCATTCAGCACAGAATGGGGGCACCGGGGAGCCCCCGCTGTGGGGGGCTTCTCCCCACATGAGCCCAGAGCCCTTTAGCCTGGGCAGCCCCAGGGAGCTAAGGGGGATTCTTCCCCTCCCGAACCCCAGAGCTGCTTGTCTTAGTCCCTGTGAGTCTCAGGCAGCCTCAGGGAGCAGAGAGAAATTCTGCTCCTCAGCAGCTGGTTTTGCCTCTGCTGCTGTGAGTCTGAGACAAAACTAGTTCAAGGGAGAGGAAGAATTTGGCTACACTATAGAAGTCTTATCTGAGGGCCACTGAAACCCTTTTGACTCTTAGCATGGACTGCAGTGGGCTTTGTGATGGACTGTTGGTCAAAATCATTTTTTTTTTTATAGATGGGGGTGAGAATTGAAGCTCTGAAAAGTTAAGTGACTTGTCAAGTGATTGTCAACAAATCAATAGCAGATTTAGGATTAGCACTCAGGGGCTCCACTTCTCGAAATGGGTTTGTTAGTGCACATGTTCTTCCTAAAAATAAAAATAGCCTTGAAACTTTGCTCCAAAAGTGAACCAAACCTAAATCTTCTTTGAAGTTTATAAAGGTTCAGTTTTTGTTTCTTTTAAATTTTCACACTTCTTGCTTTCTCCACTTAACTATATGCAAGTTTAGTATTGTCTTTTATTAGGCTATTTATGATTATGTAGTTCCCTTTACTAAAATATACTAGCATTGATCTAGTCTCTGTTTTCCTGGCTATATTCTGGATTTTTTTTAAATCATTCCCTGATGTTTGGCTGTTCTGTTGAGGCTATTTATAGAAGGGAACAACAGCTCTTTCAGTGTAAAGAACAAAATGTGATTTTCTGTGAACCCAGTGCAGTATGGTACTTCCAGCTCCAGTTTTTTAAAAAGTGTAATGCATTGCAGCCCTCCTTAGATACCAAAACCTGAAGCTGTTACTTATGTCACAAATGAAGAGCTATTCTTTTTTTTTTTTAATTTTGAAAACAAAGACACTTGTGCCTTTGAAATGTATCAATAGTTCATAATGCTTTAAGGGTACACCCTCACCTAGAGTACCATGTGCATATTGGTCATCCTGTGTCTGAAAAGATATGGCAGAATTAAAGGAAGGATTCAAAAGTAAGTTGGAAGAATGTTTGCAAGTATGAAGAACGTCTCTTTAAGTGAGACTGAAAAATTGGAGTTTTACAAAGTAAACTGATAAGAGAAGATGCTAAAACCATACCAAAAATAAATGACCTAGAAAAACCCAGGAAGTAGTGGCAGAGAAGTTAAAATATGCCACTCTGGCATGCATTCAAGCTTTGCCATCAGATTTGTTCCTCAGACTGACCCTACTAGACACAGCTGCTGTAAGTGCTCATTCAAATTGGTGAGTCAAAGGTAGCCAGATATGATACTAGTCTCATGACTCCTTTGTATGCCACTGGCTAAGAAATTAATTTGCTTTAACCATGATAGCCCAATTGGCTGCTAGGTTCAAGAGGACTTTTGTCTTGATCTCGATGGAGAAGATTGAATGAGAACTTACACTTGTCCTATGTCATAACCCATAAATGATTTGTCATTCCATAAAACTGAAAGGTGGAAAATCTAAACTAATAAAAAAGACCCTTTAAAAATGTAATGCATATTTAGGTTTAGAATAGAGGTCAAGGAAACATGACTTACGAGAAAAGGCTGAAAGAAGTAGATTGGTCTGGAGAAGAGATAACTGAGGAAGGTTAGAAAGAAGACAGAGCAAGGAGCAACAGTCTTAAATTGCAGCAAGGGAATTTTAATTTGGATATTAGAGAGAACTTTCTTACTATGAGGGTGGTTAAACATTGGAACAGAGTATCCAGAGAGCATATGTAATTCTCATCCTTGTAAGGTTTTAACAGCAGGTTAGACAAAGATTTGACTGGGATGGTTTAGTCAGGCTGAACAAGATATTTGGGAGCTACTGATTCATGTGACAAACCACTGCCTACTATTAGGGCTGTATAGAAAAATTTCTCTAAAAGGGAAAAACATCTTGTGGTGTCACCCTGTGAAGTTCCTAACAATTGTGTCTAGTACCATTTGCTGCTGAACTTAGGACACTGGACCAGATGGAGCACTAGTCTGATCCAGTGTGACAATTCCTAACTTTATTTAATATTTCAAATGTATATCTGTTTTCAAATTCAGAATCTGTTGGTTATGACCAAGCATTATTACTTGTTAAGACCCCACCTAAGTCTAGTCTTTTTTTTACCTAATGCTTATTTAATCAGTTGCAGCTAATAGCAAATAGAAAAATAAGGAAATTCCTTGAACATAACTAGGAAGAAAACTTGGCGTACTTCCTTTAAGTTCATCTGATGAATTTTTCAACACTTTTTAAACTTTTTGATTTGTTTGAAGTTTGTAGATGATCTGGGATCCATCACCCCAGGCAAACACCTCCTTTTCTCTGGGGTTATAATGCATCATTGAATGACTGCCATAACGTTTGGGGAAATGTAGCAGAGGTACTTCGTAAGTATTTAAAGCATCCAAGATATTGTACACACATTCTATACGAGATGTGCCTCCACTGGGAGTGTTGTACACAACATAAAGGGTTTTGCAGACCATAAAAGCAGCTTCAGCATTCTTGCTGTTGCATGATGTATCCCAAGTATATTCCACAGCCATAGTGTGATGGTTGATTTTAGTGATGACAAGGTTTCCACCAATGTCTGGTTCTGCATGGATTGCCCATAGTCCTTGCTCATCGATAGCAAGATCTATTTTTGTGGTTGGAAACAGTTGATAAGCCGGCATCTGTCCAGCACCTGGCAGGAGCATTCGGTCAGTTATATTTCTCTTGTGGATGTTGTATTTAATTATCTCATTTAAGGAACCATATCTGTGATAAAATAGGAAATCTTTATATATGACATGGCCAGTTCCCTGCCAATAAGTTGGCAGGACAACTCTCCGGGCTGCTAGCATGTTACGGCTTTCCATGAATGCCCTAATATTTGCAAATTCCAAAATAACGTTATTCTTGGATCTGTTTAAGAAATAAATCTTTGGATGCTTTTTGCCTGGATCTTTCATCCAAGAGCCATGAGCATCTCCAGTCTTCTTCACTATTTTTAGAGACTTGATACCTGTAAGCATGTTGTCACAGCCTGTAACAAAAGAAATCCAAATGCAAAATAATTATAAAATAAGAATATGTATGCATCCTCTAGATTCCCTCTTCTGCATTTCTTTGTCCTTTTTTCATTCAGCAATTTAGGTACGTTTGAAATGTCAACAAAGGTGATGACAAAGTGGCTGTGGCTAAATACATTTTATGTGATATAACTAGCGTGTTCTGTCTTGAGAACATACTGCACATGCACCAGTAAGCTTTGCTGAGGTGCTGACTGTCCTGGCATGTGCTCAATAGGGGTTTGTGAAGCAGGCCATATTCAGTTCAGATTTGGATTCAGCCCAGATCAGGGACAGTGATTTGATTCGTTTGCATCACTGTCCCTGATTTGATTTGGTCGAATCGGAATCTGAAGATTTGATGCTGATGAAAGAATCAGCGATTCGGACAAAGACACAGCTTTAAATGCTTTTTCTACATACCTTGCAGTAGCAGCATGGCTTGTGAACATTGAGATGCTGGAGTAGATGGAGTGTCCCGCAGGAGCGCATGGGGGGGCCCCTCCATGTACTCGGAGGTGACCCCAGAAGTGGACTGGAAGTATTTCTGGTTTACTTCCAGGTCTGCCAGGGAGCGCGCAGCCATGAGAGGACCAAGTATGACCCCCCAGACCCAGAAAGCA